GTAAACTCTCTTTTTTTGTTGATAAGTCTGGCTAGGGGTTTATCTGTTTTGTTTATTTTCTTGAAGAACCAGCTCTTGCTTTCATTGATTCTTTCTTTTGTTTTATTCTTCTCAATTTTCTTTATTTCTGCTCTAATCTTTATTATGTCCTTCCATCTACTGACTTTTGGCCTTATTTGTTCTTCTTTTTGTAGTTTCATCAATTGTGAGTTTAGAGTGTTCATATGGGATTGTTCTTCTTTCCTGAGGTAGGCCTGTATTGCAATATACTTTCCTCTTAGCATGGCCTTTGCTGCATCCCACACATTTTGTAGTGTTCAGTTATTGTTGTCATTTGTCTCCATATATTGCTTGATGTCTGTTTTCATTTTGTCGTTGATTCATTGGTTGTTTAGGAGCATGTTGTGAAGCCTCCATGTGTTTGTGGGCTTTTTCATTTTCTTTGCATAATTTGTTTCTAATTTCATACCTTGTGGTCCAAGAAACTGGTTGGTAGAATTTCATTCTTTTTGAATTTGCCAAGGCTCTTTTTGTGGTCTGGTATATGATCTATTCTTGAAAATGTTCTATGTGCACTTGAAAAGAATGTGTATCCTGCTCCTTTTGTGTGTAGAGTTCTGTAGATGTCTGTTAGGTCCATCTGTTCTAGTGTGTTGTTTAGTGCCTCTGTGTCCTTATTTTCTGTCTGGTTGATTTTTCCTTCAGAGTGAATGGAGTGTTGAAATCTCCTAGAATGAATGCATTACATTCTATTTCCCCTTTAATTCTGTTATTTTTTTGTTCACATATGTGTGTGCTCCTGTGTTGGGTGCATAGATATTTATAATGGTTTTTTTCTTCTTGTTGGACTGACCCCTTTATCATTATGTAATGTTCCTTCTTTGTCTTGTGTGACTTTCTTTGAATCTATTTTGTCTGATACTAGTACTGCAACTCCTGCTTTTTTCTCCCTATTAGTTGCATGAAATATCTTTTTCCATCCCTTCACTTTTAGTCTGTGTATGTCTTTGGGTTTAAAGTGAGTGTCTTGTAAGCAGCATATAGATGGGTCTTATTTTTTTATCCATTCAGTGACTCTATGTCTTTTGATTGGTGCATTCAGTCTGTTTACATTTAGGGTGATTATTGATAGGTATGTATTTATTGGCATTGCAGGCTTTAGATTCGTGGTTACCAAAGGTTCAAGGTTAAGTTCCTTACTATCTAAGAGTCTAACTTAACTCACTTAATATACTATTGCAAACACAATCTAAAGGTTCCTTTTTACTCCTTTTTCTTTCTCCTCCATTCTTTATATATTAGTGTCATATTCTGTATTCTTTTTCTATCCCATGATTGACTTTGGGGATAGTTGATTTAATTTTGCCTTTGCTTAGTAATGAACTGTTCTACTTTCTTTACTGTGATTTTATTACCTCTGATGACAGCTCTTAAACCTTAGAAACACTTCCATCTGTAGCAGTCCCTCCACAATACACTGTAGAGATGGTTTGTGGGAATAAATTCTCTCAGCTTTTGCTTATCTGGAAATTGTTTAATCCCTTCTTCAAATTTAAATGATAATCTTTCCGGATAAAGTATTCTTGGTTCAAGGCCCTTCTACTTTATTGCATTAAATACATCATGCTACTCCCTTCTGGCCTGTAATTTTTCCACTGAAAAGTCTGATGATAGCCTGATGGGCTTTCCTTTGTATGTGGTCTTCTCTTTCTGGCTGCTTTTAATAATCTGTCCTTATCCTTGATCTTTGCCATTTTAATTACTATATGTCTTGGTGTTGTCTTCCTTGGGTTCCTTGTGTTGGGAGATCTATTCACCTCCATGGCCTGAGAGAGTATCTTCTTCCCCAGATTGGGGAGTTTTCAGCAATTACCTCCTCAAAGACAGTTTCTAACCCTTTTTCTCTCTCTTCTTCTTCTGGTACCCCTGTTATGCGAATATTGTTCTCTTTGGGTTGGTCACACAGTTCTCTCATATTCTTTCAGTCTTTGGGACCCTTTTTTCTCTCTGTGCTTTAGATTCTTTGTATTCCTCTTCTCTAATTTCTATTTTATTTATCGTCTCCTCCAGCGTATCTCATCTGCTTTTAATATCCTCCATTGTGCTCTTCAATGATTGGACCTCTGACCAGAATTGATTGCTGAGTTCTTGAATATTTTTCTGTACCTCCATGAGCATGTTAATGATTTTTATTTTTGAAATCCCTTTCAGGAAGATTCATGAGGTTGATTTCATTTGAATCTTTTTCAGGTGTTGTGTTCATAATTTTACTCTGAACCAGGTTCCTTTGGCATTTCATATTTGTATATGGCACCCTCTCATGCCCAGAAGCTCTACTCTCTGGAGCTGCTTAGCCCCTGAAGCAATGTTAGGGGTCGCAGGGGAGCAGTATTGGTGCCTGGGGAGAGGAAAGATCTGTTTCCTGCTTCCTGGCTGCTATGCTTGCCTCCACTGCCAGAACCAGTGGGCTGAGCACACAGGTATAAGCCTCTGTGCTTTGCATTTGTTGTTGCTATAGACGGGGCTTCCCTCTGGCTGGCCTAACACCAGGGTGGGGTTTGCCGGTTTGCGAGCCAAGTGGGGCTCGCCAGGAGAAAGGTGCAGTAGGCGTGTATCATGGAGGGCATCCTTCAAGCTGTGTAGCCAGCCAGGGAGCTGGAGCACCTGTAGATCATGAAAGTTCCCAAACTACTGGGCAGAGTGCACCTGGACAATTTTGTCTACCTGTGCTTCTCCTGAGAAGTAAGCTCTGTGCAATCCTTATCCCTTTAGCAGCCCTCTTGCTGTTAGGAAATCTCTCAGACTGCCCGCTTTTCTTTTTTCCCAGAGCAGCCAGATATGGATCCCTGCTTTTCCAAAGCAGCTGGAATCTCAATCTCTCCAGGTATTCTGCCTGTCTTAACTTTCCAACCTCCTAATCATGAGAGTAACATGCAAGCACCATGAAATGTAGGTTTGTGCTCCCAGAGCAGATCTCTGAAGTTAGGTATTCAGCAGTCCCAGGCCTCCACTCCCTCCCTGCTCTGTGTCTCTTTCTCCTGCCAGTGAGCTGGGGTAGGGGAAGGCTTGGGTCCTGCTGGCCACGGTTTTGGTACATTACCCTGTTCTGTGAGGTTTATTCTTTTCTCCAGGTGTATGCAGTTTGGCTCAGCCCTCTTTCCTGTTGCTTTTTTCAGTGTTAGTTGTATTAATTATATTTTCATATTATATGCGGTTTTAGGAGGAAGCCTCTTTCTCACCTCTCATGCCGCCATCTTTAATCCCTTGTAAATTTCATTTTATTGCTTTTGTGGCCTTATTGGATTTCAACTTGTGTATTAGTTTTGTGTTTTTTCCTAGGAACTCTAACAAAAGTATAATTTGTTTTATATTTTCACATGACCTCATTGTTATGAAAATATTCTTTAGGCAGATAAGAATAGTTTACTTTTAAAGAGCATATATGTATATGTGTGTGTGTGTGTGTGTGTGTGTGTGTGTGATCTGTACCTATATTTTTTATTTAGAGTCTATATATTCTAGGTGGTGATGGCTCAATTCAGGATTTCACTTCTCCTTTGCTCCTTATCAAAAAGACAAATAAGTTTTAAAAAAAGTTCTGATGAATAATGACATAGAGGGGAAGTAGTTTGTACTGTATAATGAGAGTGTTTTGTTAGATCCTTTATAGATTAACCTAAAACCAGATTCAGAAGAACAGTTTCATAAATGATAAACAACAAAAAAAAGTCCACACACACACAACTAGCTAGATAAGTTGTGATATGGTATGAAATTTCCTGCCTCAGGATAAAAACTTTATAGTTGAGCAACATTTTAGAGATCATATGGTGGTTAAATTATGTTTTTAGTTAATTTTAAGCATTTGCTAATTGTACCAAGATATCTTTGACTTTTCAGATCTATATGTCTTATACTTTCTTGTGTTGGGATCCCCCTCTCTTTCTCAGCATAGCCATCTCTTATTATTTCTCATATATGGAGACTTAGTACCTGACCACTACCCCATTCTGATGAGATCGTGGATGCCTAGTGGCTTGGATGGTGCCCAGTGTGTAGTGGGGACTAAATAAGTTATAGACCCCCCCTTTTTTATTGTTTTTATTTCAGTGTAAACTTAGATTCTTATTAAAATCAAAAGGAAAAGCAAAGGTTAATAGGGAGATAAGCACTTTATTTTGATTCTTCCATTGATGAGAATTTCTCCTTCACTTATAAAATGTTAGAGTGTTACAAATGGGAAGATCCACAGAAGTCAAGTTCTAGCTTTTATCTGAGGCACTGTCCTATGAAACCCCTCCTAATGACATCTTTCTATACTATGACTCAACACCTTGTAACAGAAAAGTCATATGTCAAACCATTCCGGTACCACACACTTTGGGTGGCTTGTCTTTTTTTATCATGTTGGTTAGCAATATTACTTCCAGAAAAGCTTATCAGTTAGCTTTTATTTTGTTTTGTGCAACCTGAGAGAATGTATTCTTCTTCATCTCTCAGCTCTGTAAGAATCGGAAGAGAGGAATCATTGAGATGGAAGCTGAGTACTGAACCATTTCTACTGTCTGAGGGTTTTGAGTCTCACGCTTGCCTTTCCCATCCAGGATCTCAGCAGTCCTCTTAAGTAGAAGTTTTCTCCAGGAGGGATAAGTTGTTCAGAATGTGGTCTGACCAGGTTAGAGTGAAAAGATTCACATGCTGCATTTTTCTTAATGCAGCAATTCCTTTTGTATCAGGAAATACCGAAGGTAATTTAAAAAATAGCTTTATTAAATGTTTGAGTGTCTTTATCTTAATGGATTGAACTTTCTCTTAATAGAATGGACTGATATTGCCTTGAACATTTTATTTCCCCGATGGTTAATCATGGCATACCACTGTGACTCCTGGTGAACATGAGCATGTCGGCCTTCTCGGTCCCTCTGCCGGCGGAATCCCTTGCGGTGTAGTCCTGAGCATTGTGAGCCCTCAGGTTAAGCCCTCTTCCCCTCCGTCACCAGGTCATCCCGCTCTTCCTATGTAGACGAGGACTGTGACTCCTTGGCCCTCTGTGATCCTATGCAGAGGATGAATTGTGAAGTTGACAGCCTGCCCGAGAGCTGCTTCGACAGTGGCCTGTCTACCCTGAGAGATTCCAACGAGTACGACTCGGAGGTGGAATACAAGCACCAGAGAGGATTTCGGAGGTCGCAGGGCACTCAGGAGAGCTTCGGGGGTGATGCATCCGACACAGATGTAAGCCCCACATGGCGCTGTGCTCCTAGGCCTTATTTTCAATAGAAATCTGTCACCCTGTTTGACTTTTATCCATTGTGGGAATACGTTTTAAAGGTAAATATGAAGCACAGTCAGTAGAATGTATTTTTTTCTCCACTGGATAAGGAGACATTCTCACGATTGCCATTTGGAGCCACTCTGTTCTATAGTTTTCTTCTCATTAATCCATGATGTGTATGGGTCATGAGAGACTTTATTAATGGCTGACTTTTTAAAAAAAAAAACAGGTTCCTGATATAAGGGATGAAGAGACCTATGGTGCAGAGGGTGTGGCTTCCGTCTTAGACTGGAAGCCCCAGGGACCTGCTGGTGAGGGCAGCGTTTCTGGCTCTTCACGGAAGCCCATCTCAGCCCTTTTGCCTCAGGTGGGTGTTCCTGAGATGCTTCCATTTGGGAATGCTGTTATTTTCCATGCCATGTAGCCTCTTGGGGACAAACCTGACACTATCTCTGTCACCCCTGTGGCTTTTTCTCCCTAGATGGACACTGGGGATGATAGCCATAAGTCTGCCAGCTCACAGAAGGCTTACAAGATTGTGCTTGCCGGAGACGCTGCAGTGGGGAAGTCTAGTTTCCTCATGAGACTTTGCAAGAATGAATTTCGAGGAAATACAAGTGCCACCCTGGGTATGGTCCCTTTTGATAATGGGGACATGACCTTTAGCTTGATTTTATTTTCTTTAGGGATTGTATACACAGCTCGCTGTCCCTCTGTGTGCATCCATGGTGGATATAGGTGTGTGTGTGTGTGTGTGTGTGTGTGTGTGTGTGTGTGTGTGTGTGTCCGTCCTTGTCCATAAAATGGGTCCTCCTCTGTTTTGGCTAAGGCCCAACTTTAGGAAAGGAAAACTGACAAAGGGCAGAGGCATCTTCTTACCCAGTCAGATCGACCAAACCAAGTGTAGAGCTGGAGATGACAGATTCATTTATTTAGCAAACACTTATTGAGTGAGCCAGATTCTGTCATAGGTGCTATGGATACACAATGAATAGCGTTAATTCAATCCCAGCCCACAAGGAGATTACATCCCAAAGGAGGGAAATGGATGGAAAAACAAATAAAATGCATAAGTTTTGGAGAGAGGTACAGTTTTACACAGAGTTGGGCCAGGAAAGCTTCTCGGATAAGATGTAATTTGATGTTGATAAGGTGACATTATTGCCAGCCCATTGTCGTTATGGTCAAAGTTATAGACAGATGCACACTCCTTCCTTCCCCTACTTCACCTCGGAATATATAATACCTCTCAGAACAAGGAAAGAAATAATGTTCTGATTTCCCAAATTTGCATAATAATCAGCAAGAGGAGTTGAAGATATGCAAATGATCATTTATTTTTCTTCTTCATCCAAAGAGTTCTTTTTTTGATAACCAGAAGTGTTAGAACAGTTTGATTACCCTCTTCATCATGGGCGTCTTTGTAAATTTATGGTTCTCTGTTACACCCTTCAAGATAACAAAGATGAAAGGTGAATTTGATTCATAAAAAGACCATTTGGTTCAGCTGCTAAAGAGCATGTTGTATGTACATATATATGTATATAAAAATACATATATATGTACATACATATATACATACACACATGTATACATGCATAGATACATAGGTACCCACATGTATACACATAAATGTGTATACATGTACACATACACAGATGTAACTGAGTTCGGCTAATTACCTGGGCAAAGTGAACATAGATTTTCATTTTGTCTAGATTAAATCCTTCCCCAAGTCAGCCAACCTGCAGCCGGTGTCTGTGCACACACGTGTGGCCTGACTTATAATTCCTATTTGAAGGTCATGCTCCTTGAAGGCCCTGTTCATTCCTGTCTGCCTCTGTGAGCTTTGGCTTTTTTGGCTTTTGTCTCTAAGAAGGGCTTGAAAGTAAAAAGCAGTGGAATTACTGACATCGTTCTCCATGTTCTCTTACACCCCTTTTCAGGTGTTGATTTTCAAATGAAAACTCTCATTGTGGATGGAGAGCGAACAGTTCTGCAGCTCTGGGACACGGCTGGCCAGGAGAGGCAAGCTCTCTTCCTAACGCTTCAGGCTCTGCTTCGCTTTGCACAGACAGGCTTCGTAGGATGCATGGTGTTTTTATACTCATGGTTACATAATTGTAGTATACTGTATAATTTTATATATATATATATATTTAGAATGTCAAGAATGCTGGCTTTTTTCTTTCTACCTTCCTTTCTGCCTTCTCTTATGTATCGGTGTGTGAGAAGAGGATCATTAGCTTGCTTTGAGCTGATGTTCAGTTGGGAAAAAGAGAGCACTAACATGAGAATTTAGGCGAGGTCGCTTCTGAATGCAGTGACAGCGGGAGGAGCTGCTCAGCTGGGGTGCAAGAGAACCTGTCAGCTTCCCTTGACTCAAGGGCAGAGGCTCAGACTAAATAACAGACTTGTATCTGGCAACAGTACCTTATCTTGCATGCATTGTGGATGACCAGAAGCATTGAGCATTTTATCTTGTCTAGGGAACAGAATCTATCCAACTGGTCTAAAAGTAGGTATGGGGTGCCTGACTACCTCTGTACCAGGCACCATTCAGGCTGCAAAGATTCAGCAGTGAATGGACACAAAACCCTGCCCACATTGAGCTCATATACACCAGCAGACTGAGAATTTCAACATGTAAAAAATATGTATGGTTGACATGGCCCTATTTAAGATACTATAAAATATTGCATGTGGCTTAGAATTAGGACATGTCTATAGAGTTAGGACATACACTCTTCCTCTAGTGAATGTTCCCGGGCCCTCATGTTTGCACAGCCTCTGGCACATTGTGGTGTTCCACATTACTAGTTCTACTCCCCAACCCACAATACTCCTTTCCCACCACCCCCAAAATAATTTTTCTCTGATACGCATTTCCTTCCCTCCTCCTCTGTGTCCCCCATGTGGGTTCTGGTAGCTTGTTGCTGTAGCGAAATGTCTAGATACTATGGTCTCTAATACTCTCAACCTTGTTCTGGCTATGCTCTGGGTTTTCTAAACATTGTTGGGATTGTTTGGTGGAGAAAATGATCGACTTCCAAATCAGTACCTCAGATCCTCATCCTGCTACCCTGTACTGGGTCATTCTAGGCTATTTCATGGTAGCGTGTTGCCATGAGATTCTTATCAGTTGGGGTATTTTTTAGAAGATGTGGAAAAGCATGCATGAAAGAGATGAAGGATGGTGCCACACCAACTGGCCAACTGATCAGGCCCTTACGTACATGCTTTTCTCTTTTCCAGATTCAGAAGTATTGCCAAGTCTTACTTCAGGAGGGCGGATGGCGTCTTGCTGCTCTATGATGTTACATGCGAGAAAAGCTTCCTTAATGTACGGGAATGGGTAGATATGATTGAGGTAAGAGATCAAAATGGAGAGACAGAAACCTGATGTGGGACAGCTGCAGGCTCTCTTGGAAAATGCTGTCTCTCCTGGTTGCTAAAGCCACCCTGACCAGAAGTCATTGGCCCAAGCTACCAGGAAGGGCCCGGCGTTAGCAGCAATTTCTTGGACACTTGGCAGTACCGATCTCTTCCTTGGTAGCACAGCAAGTTCCACACAGCCAAGAACACCGCTAAAGGGAACTTCTGGGAATAGAACTTCTGGGTTTTCTTACAGATAAAAGCAGAGCCCCACTGGAAGCAAGTGACTGTGCCATTCACCGGAGAAGCAGCAGCTCTTACAAGCGGGGGGACATGGGTGGGTGTGTACATGATGAGACATGTATGTGTGTGCTGGGGGTCCAGGGGAAATGCCCCCTGGATGTGAGTGTGTGCAGAGCTCAGGTCTAAGCACCAGTGCTCTCAACGTTGTTCTGGAGTGATTTGGGTCTTTACATATCCCACAGTACCACTGACAGACCAGTGGGTATATTAATCATGTGTGGTGACATCCGTGCTTTCTTTGTGTCAAATGAGACAGTGACTTTCATCTGAGGAGCTTCCATATCCTTTGGTTTCATGGTAACTCATTTTTAAAAGTAGAAAATCCTTTTGACAACAGTGAGCTGCCAACAGTTATTAATCTACATAAAACTGTAGTTCAAGCTGTGGGTCAGCATACTCTCTTGGAAAAAAAACAACTGGTAGCTAATACAGTTTTTCAAGTAAGTCTGTTACCTTAATTTTTACAGGCATTAAGTGCACTGGTGGCCAAACAGAAAACTGATTGAGCCTCTAGATTCTTCAGTGTAGCCTCTCAATTCTTCATTTGGGGCTATCTTATACCCTGTGAAAACCAGAATTGATGTCCTCTTTCTACTAAAGAAGTGATGTGAGGAGTGACCAGTCGCACTGGTGTGAAGACTTAGACATTGATAAAGAAATGTGCGTTTTGTTCTACTGAAGTATCATGACCTAAATTTATTATCAACATGTTGAAAGTGTGTTGATATTTATGTACTATTTTATTTCACCAAGTTTTCCGCATGTTGTATTCATGTCTGTAATGTATCTGAGGAAGGAAATGAGACATGTCGTGTTATTCTCCTTTTTGAGGAGAAGCCGGACACGTAGTGTATGGCACTGGCTTATATTTAGAGGTTGGGATGGGAAGGGGAATTGGACCTCCTGATTCAACACTGGTTACTCCTTCAGTAAAGCACCAGAGTGAACAACGTATCAAGAAAGGAAGCTTTTCATATCCAGAAAGGAATTCCAAAGTACAGTTGGTGCATAGAGAAGAGCCATCTACTCGGGACAGATGGGCCTCCGTGGCGTAGAGAGCTGAGTCCAGAGAGTAATGGATAAGTCTCACCAGCTATATCCATGGGTAGTTAAAATCCATAGAACTTTTTACTGTTGAAACTGGTGAAGTTAGTCCTCATTTTAAGTCTTTGGCTTATGCTCAAGAAAAGGAGGCACAGAAGGTGGGGTCAGCCCAGTGTTGAAATAACCCTTAGTGACCAGCCACAGTGTGTGGCAGGGCCCCTGCTGCCAGAATTTGCTAAGCATCTGTTCATGGTAAGTGACCTTTCAGCTATTCCGACCACCTTTCACAGAGTCTGAAAAGGAAGATAACTATATTCAAGACAGATTATTGAATTTGTTATGGAGAAAAAAATCAGATGCCTGGATCAAAACCCCATTGGGTTACAAAATCTTGTGACAAAATCATGGATAAAATAAAACTATGGCCACTCACTTACCTTTCATGAATAATTTACTCATCAAATATTTGGGTGAAAGTTGAATGGTGACACTGGAGATGTGAGATCTCTTCCTGACTTCTCTGCATCCAGAAGTATTTTTGGAGTACCTACCTTGTGCCCATCCTGTTGCAGGCTGCGTAGACCTATCAGCAGTCAAAGAGCTCTGACCTTTCGGAGTTTGTGCTGTAGTGGGGCAGACATGACAAGCAACCAAAACACAAGTGAGATAAAGAGAATGATAGAAATGGGAAATAGTATAGTACCAGCGGGCAGAGTAGAGGCTTTATGGGAAGGCAGTGGGCTCCACTGTGCTCAGGGTATTCTCACCAGAAGGTGACACTTGAGCCAAGACTTGGAGGAGGTGCCGGTGTGAACCTGTATGACTTTGGGGAAGTCACTGAGACCCGGGGATTCCCGGCTTCCTAAGGTGAATATCTGATCAATGGGTCCGCATGATGCTCCTTTGGATCCTGAGCTGTTCACCAGAGAACATGCCTTGTTAACACCTGAATGGGTGGGGTGACTTGTTTTGGGGGGGTCTTTCATCCCCTACTCCCCTGTGCTGTGGCTCTACTCTGGTGTCTTTGGTTATAGGTAAATGTTCTGAAGAGAAAGGGAGTCCAACGTAATCTCATGATTTTTAAGGCTCCTTTCCTGAGCTTGTCTTAGGTACGGCACCAAACTGAAAGAGCCCCACAAAGAGCAGTTCCTGTGAGTCTCAGTTAGGGCTGCAGCCTCTCCTGTTTAGGAGGCAGAACGTGCACGTCAGGTTGTCCTCCTCTGTTCTCACCGTAGCCTGCTGAGGCGGTGTATGCCCTTACCACCCCTCCATTCTGCAGGTAGGGAAATGAAGGCAGAAATGTGAGGAGACTCGCCTGATTTCACTCAGTGAGTGGCTGGGTGCTGGGAAGTGTCTGGTCTTGAGCTCAGCTCTGCCCCTCAGGCCTTACATCCCTCCCACTCCACTGTGAATCGGGGACAGTTTGCACCTGCTGACTTGGGAGCATTATCCTTAGAATCCATTACTTCCAATGATTGGTATTGACTCTTCATGAGAAAAATGCTGACCTTCAGGACCTTGCGATTTTGCTCATGTTGTAAACCACATAGCAGTGAGTGTGGAACTTTCCAGCTCTGTTTTTGCCCATTATAGCTGAGGGATTGCTTGTGTGTTTTGTACCTGGGGTAATAAGTTGACTTGTAATCACCATTGGTTGAAGTGAAAGTTGCAGAGAATTGTGTGGGTACCAAGCCAATGTAGTTCAGTGGTCATGGCTCTTGAGTTCATACTGCAAGCAAGGGTGGAGTCGGTTTGGACCCTGGCCCTGGCCTGTGCAAGCTCTTATTTAATCTCTCTGAATTTCAGGTCCACACCTGGCAGTGGGGGAAAAGTTTGGCTCTTTGGAGATATTTTGAAATTAAAAGATATTATCTATGCATCATGGGCCACACAAGGGGCTTTTGGAAAATGGGGGCTAGTGTTGGTACGGCTGCTGCTGTCATCATAACTTGTCTAGTGTGTGATGAATACACACTTTTTTCCTTTTTTTCATGGTAGGATGCAATCCAGGAGAGTATTCCAATCATGTTGGTGGGAAACAAGGCAGATCTTCGTGACACTGCTGCAGCAGAGGGACAGAAATGTGTCCCAGGCTACTTTGGAGAAAAACTGGCCATGGTAAGTGTACGAATGGTCCAGACTGGAATAGACCTTCAGAATTCACGGGCTCTGGAGTCAGGCGCCTTGACTTCTGTCTACTTTTGCTTTAAGAGGTTCTTTGACAGACCTCCACCCCCTTTGATGGGACTCCCGTCCTATTCAGGCAGAAGTACCAGTGGCCCAGACTTTCATGGATATAAGTATTGCACCAAAGCTTAAGTCTCTCATGAAGGGGAAACCATCACTTGATCGTTTCTCCAACTAAAGAGCATTGATAAAGAGGGGCCAGCATTATCCCATCTTCCTCCTCATGCTCAGCCAGTTCCTCGAATCCTGCTCTAGTCCTGGAATCCTGGTAGAGGAAAAAGAATGGGTGTTATGTTGTGAAAAGATGGCTAAATGACCGAGGGTTAGTTAGTGTGCCAAAGGTAGAAGTCATGCAGTGTGTCCCCTGGGTGGGAGGGAGTCGAAAGATTTGTGTTTTTCTCTAAGATTTGTGCTTAGCTGAAATAGTCTGAAATTATTTTGGCTGTGTATTTGTATAGAGGATGAAGCTCATTCCTGCCTACATTATTACTGTGGGCAGTGTTTATTCTCCCAGTTATCATTGCATCTGAATGCTCTGTGCCCCCTTGTGACCTGCCTTGCCAGGACAAGAAATCAGGTATACCTTTAGCCAAATAAGAGCTTCATACTGAGCAGTCTAATCTGATGTCACTGTCATTGTTCCCTGTAATCAGCACTATGAAAGGACTGCTCTTTAGCATATGCATGTGAACCTTAAAAAGAAATTTCAGTTTCACTGTTATTAAGTTGGAAAATCTTTCTTGTTTTATATTTTACAACTATGAACCAAACATAATGAACATCAAAACTAGGCAATGAAATACAGAAGAGATTCATTCAGTACATGTTTGGTTGTTCACTGTGTGCTGAGCAAAGAGTAGAGCAGGCAGTCCTTGTCCTCACGTAGTTTATTTTCTGGGGGAGACTCACATTAAATGCATGTGACTGATATGCCAGACTGTCCTACAGGCTTCTCTAGAAATCTTGCAGTTCCTGGCCACATGCCAGTTTTATTCCCTCATGATTTCTGAGTTTCACACACTCAGGCCAAGCACACACAATTCTCCTTGCCAAAGGACTTAGGAGTGCCTTTTCAGGGTTAGAAGACAGTCTTAACTTCAAGAGAGGATTACCTAAAAATCTAAAGGATAGGTAGGAGTCAGCCTGGAGAAGGGCACTAATGGGCATACGGGATAGCCTCAGTAATGGGAACAGCAGGTGCAAAGGTCCTGAGATGGGAGGGAGTTTGGAGCACTGGAGAAATAGGGGGAAGGCCAAGGTAACTGGGAGTTGTGAGGGAGGGAGAATGATGGTGGGTAAACCAGGGAGGCTGGCTGGGGCCACATTCAAGCTAGGCCTTGTCAACTATGGTAAAACATTTGAATGTTACTTGAAGAGGAACAGGAAGCATTGAAAGGTTTGAAGCAGGGGAGAGATATGATCAGTGATGATATACATAACTGCTGGTAGGTTGAGTAGTAGAGGACTAGAAACTGCCCATTGATTTCAGCAATGTGGAGGCTGCTGAATCTTGATAGGAAAAGATGATAATGTAACGGGAGATGTGTGTTAGCTGTGGGCCAAAAGGAGACATACTTTTGATGGGCATTTAATTCATGAGTGGTTACCTTAAGCTACCATTTTGATCTCTCTCAAATTATTTGATAATGTGTGTGACTATAGGAAATAACTTTAAAATGTGAAAATTTGTGTTGTGTTTTTTTGAATGCAAAATAAAAATCTAGGAACTATTTCTGGAATCACTAGGCTCAAACTCACTTTTTTCAAGTATTGACATGCTGAATCTAATTTCTAAGCTATTAGTCTTAGCATACTCAATGGGAGACTTATTTTATTTTATTTTATTGGTCTTAAAAGCTAAGATTCTAGGACACTTAGTTAAGGCTTCATTTAATGGTGTGTATTTCTTTTCTGTAGACATATGGGGCGTTATTCTGTGAAACCAGTGCCAAAGATGGTTCGAATATAGTGGAAGCTGTTCTCCATCTTGCCCGGTAAAGTTTTGCCTTATATTTGGAAAACTGGAAATGGGATAGAATTGTGTATGTCCAGATGTCTTGACCATACATTAATATGCATTGGAAAACACTGTCTTTTCGTTTGGTAGTGATCGGCAAACAATTAAACGTGCATTTTGTGAAAACTGGTCATGCTGTGTGTTCACTGTGAATACTGGCAAGATACGTGGCCTACCAAATAAAGCAGGTGCTCCTGAGGTGACGTTGACATTTGTGCAAAATGTCACCCAAAGCTAATAGTTGACTTGTATGAATCATTTCCAGGAACCAGATATTTAAACACAAGAGACTATCACAAATACAACTATTACTATGACATTTTCTGGGGTGAAGGGGAAATAAAAACTCAACAGAGCGAATTATATATCATACAGTTGGAAACAGTTTGTTCAAATTATTGCCCAGGTAATTATTAAGCTAAGGCAGTGGTTTTAATAATAAATAACATTTTGGGATGTGGATTAGAATGAAAATTATATTATTGAGGAACTTGGATATAAATGTGAATGTTTTAATCCTAGTTTTTTTGCCACAAATGAAAGAATGATTCTTTACTGACCTACAGGGATTAAAAGATACAGAAGAAAAAGAAAAAAATCAAAATGTGTGTTAACAAAATCCAGGCCAATGATCTTTAATTTCTAACAAAGCAAAAACATGATTTTAGGCATGTAGTCATTCTCCTGGTCATTTGTGAGGTTATAAGGTTTGACATGTTAACTTTAGTGTGATAACTGGCCTCTTCTGCTGCTATACATTGATAATTAAAATACTTTGCAGTGTTTTAAATGCTGCTTTTCTATTAATGATGCAGTGTTTATAGTGCTGTCTAGCATGCTTGGCCTGGGGCCTTCAGAAACACTGCCACCCTCACTTGAGAGAATCAGGAAACAGGCCCCAGATCTTAGGGGGCCTGCTTTGCATTAGTTTGTGATGGGGCTTGGCAGACGCCTCGGGCTTGAACCAGTCTTTGAACATTATCTCCTTTGACGTCAGAGAGAGAGCCACCTCCCCCTACCACACTGGAAGTCATCTTCGTTTAAAGCAAAAACAGTCCTAAATGTAAGTGTGACCTAGAACAGGTAGAAAAAAGGCCAACTTTAAACATGTGTTAATTCAAGTGAATTGCATGCTTTTTGCCTATGATTAGTAGGAGGATCAAGAGCTAATAACGTATTTGTCAAACAAGAGCCCAAGTAAAACTATAGTAAATTGGACGAAATAATGGTCTCCGTTCCCCGGTGGGTGCCTAGGGACCCCCAGCTGTTTTAGCTGAGCAGGATATGGTCAGCAAAGGTCGGGGGTCCCTGAGCTGCACTGCAAGCGGACCATCGCTGCCTTGGTCAGTGTTTTCACTTCTTCTGATGGTTGTGTTGGTGTTTCTGAAATGTCCCTGGGGATCTGGATAGAAGTGATGTGCCTGCAGAGGCAGCCAGGTGTTGGAAGGATCTGCAGGGCTTCAGAGCTTCACCAGTCCAGGTGAACTGGACAGGAGCCAGGTGCCTCCTTAGCCTGGGGCAGATGGGGGTTGAGTTGCTGCTCCACAGGCTGCAAAGGGTGCCCCAGCCCAGGCCCTCAGCATGACTGTCGGCTGCAGTCCCATGTGCTAGAGGACTGCCCCTGAATAGCTCTGGGAGTCTTGCTTCAGGCATCTCAATAATCTGCAAAACAGTCAGGGGACGTGCTGAAGAAAGTGACTCCAAAGTCCTTCCTGGTTCTGACAGTCTGTGCTTCTGTATATAACACCTGTACTGCACTGAAAAACATAATCGCTGTTTAGTGCCGATTCATCTTATGGGATCATGTTAAAGTTAAATGACTCCAAATTGTCACAGTCACACCCAGCTTGTGGAATCAATTGCCTTTATCATATCATAAAGGTGGGAGAGGCTGTAAACCACATGAGCCTCTCTCCCCATCCACTCTGCCTGCCCTGTTTACAGTGCAGCTTCCACACAGGCTTGTGTTTGTTTACCTAAAACACCTGCACGCAGAGGCATTTGAGAATGAGGTCGCTTCTTGTGAATCACTTAGCAAGGAGTGTTCTTGTTATGATTGCACTGTGGTCTTGTTTGAGGCCTCCAGTGTAGCTTTGTTAGCGACGCGTTAAATAGAAAAATCACAATTGAAGTATAAATATGTAAAAACAGTAATTTGCTTTATCCTCTGCCCTCAGATGCTGCTCCACAGGCTGCAAAGGGTGCCCCAGCCCAGGCCCTCAGCATGACTGTCGGCTGCAGTCCCATGTGCTAGAGGACTGCCCCTGAATAGCTCTGGGAGTCTTGCTTCAGGCATCTCAATAATCTGCAAAACAGTCAGGGGACGTGCTGAAGAAAGTGACTCCAAAGTCCTTCCTGGTTCTGACAGTCTGTGCTTCTGTATATAACACCTGTACTGCACTGAAAAACATAATCGCTGTTTAGTGCCGATTCATCTTATGGGATCATGTTAAAGTTAAATGACTCCAAATTGTCACAGTCACACCCAGCTTGTGGAATCAATTGCCTTTATCATATCATAAAGGTGGGAGAGGCTGTAAACCACATGAGCCTCTCTCCCCATCCACTCTGCCTGCCCTGTTTACAGTGCAGCTTCCACACAGGCTTGTGTTTGTTTACCTAAAACACCTGCACGCAGAGGCATTTGAGAATGAGGTCGCTTCTTGTGAATCACTTAGCAAGGAGTGTTCTTGTTATGATTGCACTGTGGTCTTGTTTGAGGCCTCCAGTGTAGCTTTGTTAGCGACGCGTTAAATAGAAAAATCACAATTGAAGTATAAATATGTAAAAACAGTAATTTGCTTTATCCTCTGCCCTCAGATTTATTTGTCAAAGTATTTAAATCTTATATGGAAATGGTATAGTCTCCTCAGGTGAAATTTTATCATTTTAAAACGTTTTGCAGCCTTTGTCATGTACAATGCAAAAATGTGAAGTTTTCGATTTAGCTTTCATAGTGTAATTCCCAACATCCCTTTCACACCAAGTTGTGTCATAAATCATGAACTGGAAGAGTTTATGGATTTGCACTGTCTGAAACAGTATTCTTTTTTGAAGGGAGGCCATAAATGTTTGGTTACAGCCTGAGCTACCCTGCTTTTTCTTGGAAAACCTCTCAATGCCAGGAAAAGTTTCTCCTAGAAGTGAAATTTCCCTCTAGTGCTGACAGGACACCTCTCACAATCCTTTGCCCCTTGGTAAGGAAGTTTGCCATCACCGGAACCACAGACTTTAAACATTTTGCAGTAGATTCAAGCTGAACAGCCATTTAATTGGTCAATAGCCTGAAATTTGAGAAAAACAAAAAAAAACTCAGGATGATGTATTGGTTCAGCCCAAGAGTTGAGTCCATTGGTTATAAATCTGTCCAGAAGACTGAAACACTTAAAATGGAGTTGTTAATAATCATATGGTATGGTTTTTGTGAAGCAGTTTAATTTTCCCAGCCTTAAACCCTGTTTTAGATGTTTGGAATTATATCTTTCTGTATTTCCTTTAAGTGGGACATGCCTGCAATTGCAGTGGATTGAAGGCACTAAAGGCCAGATGAATGATGTGGGTACATGCTTCTCCCCCTTAGTATTTGCTTTCAGGTTCAATAATGCCTGCATTATTATGAGCACTCAGCATGTGAAAGCCCCATACAAGGATCAATAGAAATATCCAGGGAATGTAAGAAAGGTCATGAGATTTAACATGGGAGATCAATAGAAAACATGACCTGGCAGCCATATGACATGTAGCTGATAGAGGCCATTGGACCTCCCAGGAAGAAGAGGTGTGAGTTGTCTTATGAGGAAGCTGTGTCTATTATACCCATTGTACAGATAAGCAAATGGAGAATTAGAGCGCTTAATCAACTTGCTCAATGTGACATGGCTACTAAGTGGCAAAGCTGGGGCTTTTCACCACCTATCTGAGTCATTGGCTTGCCACTTGAATATTAGTGGTCTCAGGGTTCTGTTATACATTCTCTTCCTCTTTATCCTCTCTCTCCTAATGTCTTCCTTTCCCATGGTTGCTATAACTATCTGTATCTGGTGACTTCCAATTTCTGTATTTTAAACCCTTGCCTCTTTTTAAAATTCCATAACTCTATCCACACCGTCAACAACTGGAAATTCCAAAGGCAGTGACTGTACCCAACATACCCAAACCCTGAAGTGTTCATTTTCTTTACATTGTTCCCTATTCCATATTCCCTATCTCAGGAAACTGCCATAATTATAATTCACAAACAGTAAGCTGGTCAGTTTTGACCACTTCCTCTCTGTCACCTGCCTCTAGTGGGTCTGGGGGCCCTGTTGATTTGTGACCTCTTTGCAATCTTTCTGGAATCTGTCCATTCTCATTCTCCCCTCTGCCCACCTTTCTCCCTCTCCCTCTTTCCCTCACCACCCCATCCCACCCCACCTTTGTCTCTGTCTCTGTCTCTCTCCTTTCTGTGGACGGCCAGATGTGATGTCACCCCAGAAGTGACATTACCAGAGGCGGGCACCAGGGAGTGATAGCACTGGAAGTGAGATCACCGAAAACAGAAGTGACTACACCAGATATGAGATCAGTCCAGAAGTGACATCATTATGAGCTTGTGTATATAAGTGGTGCTCAGAAAATAAACTGTGTCACTTGTCTGCCATCAGCAGGCAGTGAACCTCCTGATCCCAGCCTTGGTTTCCATGTCTTTCTTGTATCTTTCTCTGTATTGTCCTTAAGCTCCTCACTCCCACTCCACTCAGGTTCAGCTGGTTTGTGGAGCTGGTCTCCACACCTTTCCTTCAGGCCTGGGGATATCCTACCTGGGTTAGTGCAGAAGGCACCTAAGTTTTTGCTTCACAATTTCCTCAACACCAGTTCATTCTCCACCTTGTAATCAGGGTAATCTTTATAAATAAATATCCAAAATTCATACCCACTTTCTTGCTTGCATGCCACACAGGTGCGCTGCCTACAGCACAGTCCAAGCTCCTAGGTGGGTGGGTGATAGTTGCTCACAGCCTGACCTCACCTGGCTTTCTGGTTGCAGCTCATATCATGCTTCTCAAATAAACAATAATCTGTAGACAGCAAACTTTATTTCTAGCTGTGGCCAAGCTTTTCTGTGCCTCTTTGCCTCCACACATGCTCTCCCCGGCACCTGGAATCCCCTTTCCTCATTAACTGAAGGGGAACTCCTGTTCTTTCCAGAGGTCCTTGCAGGGTCAGAGTCCCCATGACGCTCCAGTTCCACGAGGCCCCCCACCTGCTTCACCCAGCCGCGGTGCCCCCTCTGGTCCTGCCGCCGTGCTTGTGTGTTAGTGGCTCTATTGGGACCTGTAGCAGTTTATTTAAACTTCTGTCTATCCTTCAAAGATCACTAATTGGGGTCCCTGACTTGGGCATAAATTGGGTATTTGTTGAATGGCCAAACGACTGAGATTATGCCTGTGGAAGTTGTGTTACTTTTCTTTTGCCACTGAAACAAATTCCTGTAAATGCAGGGCAGATTTAACATGTTAGCGCTCCGGAGGTCAGAAGTCTGAAATAAGTCTTATGGGGTGTGATAGGCTGAACTGTGTATCTTTTTTCTTTTCCTGAGTCTTTATCTCCACATCCGTGAAGTGAGGATAATAATGTTCACCTATCACCTGTCAAGTGTGTGTGTCTGTGTGCGTGTGCATTATGTGTATTAAATAAGGAAAATGCAAAATCATGAAGCCTAGTATTTATTAGCTGGCCTTTAGAAAGAATTAGTTTTTTTCTCTCTCTCTCTCTTTTTCCTCTGCTGGGATATCTTCTTTTCAAAAGTTATAACTAACTTTTCAAGTTACCATATAGCACCTTCTGGAGCTGTGCTGACAAACAGCCACTAGCCACCTGAAGTGTGGCTAATCAAACTGAGATGTGCTGTCTGTATTAAAACATGCTGAATGGATTTTTAAGACAGTATAAAAACTATAAAGTACTTCATTAATATTTTTATTGATAACATGCTGAAGTGATAATATTTTTGCTATACTGAGTTAAATGAAATATATTAATAAAGCCAATTTCACCTGTTCCTTTTTACACTTTTTAATGGGGCTACTAAAAATGTTTTAATTGCTTATGTGGATTACATTATATTTCTGCATTGCTCTATTGGGAATATGCCAATTCCCAGCAGTTTCAGTTTATCTACTGCCCTGTAATAAACCACTCCCAAAACTTAGTCCCCTAAAACAACAACCACATTTTAATTTCCCGACATAACCAGGATTAGCTGGATCTCAGCTGGACGGTTCCTCGACTGCTCTCATGTGGGGTGTCTCATGCGTTGGCAGTGGGATGGCCACGGCACTGTGGCTCATGCTGGGTGCCTGCCACCAGGACACTCCTCCTTGGGGACTCTGGTCCTCCGGGGCTTCTTTGCCGGCCTCTCTCCACTGAGAGTCCCTGGAGTTTTCTAAATGGCAGCTCAAAGTGTTACTGCCTGGCTTGGAGTCACAGCCCACCATCTCCTCTGCACTCAGTCAGTCTAAGCCATCATAGAGCCAGTGCTGTTAAGGGGGCGGGGCGTGGTCCGTGGGACGGGCTCCCCACTCCTGGTGGGGCACCTCCAGGCATTCACAGGGAAGGCTGGAATTGTTTGGGGCCATCTTGGGGATGAATATCACAATTTTTTCAGTCAGAGATTGCCGTTCAGCTTGTCCAGTGTGGGCCTTTAACGGGTTCCTATTTCACAAACGTACCTGGTGGCTGCATCCAGAAGGACACGCCCCTAGGAGATCTCTGTAAGGTCTTAGGCATTTTTTGTCACTGTTGCCTCTAGTGGCTAATTCTAAAAGAAATTTCAGAAGAAGCAAAGGGAAGATTTTTCCCTGGGTTTTAACCAGTCATTGTTCTCTCCATGATCATGTATAACTAAAGAACCACTATCAAGTCATTGTTACTTTGATTAAGTCAGCAAGCGTTAGGGCTGGACGCCAGGTTCCAGGGTGTTAAGGAGTACATGGTGCATGGAGCAGGTTACACAGCATGCGAAACCCCAGGAGTGGGTGTGTGTGCATGTGTGTGTCTTGTGTGTGCCTGCATGCATGTGTGTGCAGGGGGGCTGGTGCTCAGCATGCAGGCCAGTTTGAATTCTGGCTCCATCACTTCTCCAACCATGTGACCTAAGAGAACTTAACTTTTTAAAAAAAACTTTGTTTCCTCACATACAAAACAGGGCACAAGAAATTCATATGGTTCTTGTGAGGCTTAAACAAATCAACCCCTGTGAAGCATTTAGAGCAGCGCCTGGCTGATCCATGGTGAAGGCTCAGCAGTGCTGTGTTAATTTCCCCTGAGCCATGTGTACCTCAGTAATCCCCTCTCTCTCCTTCTCTCTCTCTCCTCAGGGAAGTGAAAAAAAGAACTGATGAAGATGACAGCAAATCTGTTACCAATCTGACTGGGACCAGCTCCAAAAAGTCAGCGCAGATGAAGAACTGTTGCAATAGTTAAATCCCAAACACCCTTGGCCTGGGAGGTCTTCATTTCCGGAGTCCTGAATCCGTGTGACTTGCTGGCTTCTTCTATGGAGTGGCGCATCCTAAAGACACTGTCACATGGAAAGCCACAGTGCAGGAAAGCTGTGCTCTTGGGCCTTCAGGAACCCCAGCTCCTCTGCTCTGTGCCAATGAATGATTTGAACCATCCAATTACATATGTTTGTCTTGTCCTTATAGAATTTCAGAAGATAATGTGTAAATGTTTTTAAAGTGGTAAAAATTCACATCCTCAGATCAAAGCTTTAGGAGAAACTCATGGACATACTTAAATTCATGTGGCAACTGCCTTTACAGATCACCTATGACAACATATATGTCATATATGCAGTACTACAAAGTACTAGGAAAGGGGGGTTATCGTCCTAGCTCTGCTGTTAACTTGCCCGGGGTCTTGGACATGTCACCAGCCTATGTTAGGTCTGTTTCCTCATCTGTAAAGCAAGCAGCTTGGCCTCTGGGATCCTGTAGCCCTTTGAGCAACGGGAGGGAGAGAACAGTTAGCACTCTGGTTAGTTGTACTTATTAAATATTGGAGTACTGGTTATTCTTTCTGAAAGAAGAACAGAATTTAATTGAGAAAAAAGGGGTAATGTTTTAGGCTGCAGTGGAGGCAGAAATATCTATCTTTTTATGTATAAAGAAAGAACACGTTTGTGACAAAAACATTTGTATATAGAAGAAGGTATTTTATCATCCCAGGATACTTACAAAGTCCATGGTTTAAATTCAATGTTACAATTGGTCATGAAAATATAAAAAGTCACATCTTACTGGCAGAACAATGCCCAGGAAAGTTGTCACTCTTCACTTAAAAAGGTGCACCAGCAAGTGGTTGCCAGGGGCTGGGGAAAGGGAGGGACAGGGAGTGACTGCTAATGGGTGTGTGGTTCCTTTGGGGTTTGAGGAGAATGTTCTGGAATTATATTGTGATAATGGTTGCACAACTTTGTGAAAACTAAAAATCTACTAAATTGTGTACTTTGAAAAGGTGAATTTTATGGTATGTGAATTATATATCATTAAAAAAATATGCTAGCTCTTAAAATGGTTTAACATTTTGCTAACAAAAATATGCATGCTTAGACCTTCCCATGATGTAAAAGCATTCTCTCCCAATAGAATGCAAATCCCTAACTCCCTAGTTGCCAGCATTCACTTCCTTAAATAATGAGCAATGAAGGAAATGATATATATGGTTTTGGAAAATCATCTCTTTAAGAAGAGGAATTGAGGTTAGGAGAGGTATGTCAGAGGCCTTTCTCTAATGTGCTAGTGACCCATCCTCACTGATGACCCTGTTGGTCTGGCTCTCCTACAACCTGGAAGTTCTAGACTCCCAGTGCCTCCCAGACATCCCCATGGAAATGTCTCTATGAGCCAAAGGAGTCAACACCTGACCCCATGGTGGGTCAATGAAGCCTGCTTTTTTGGTTTTTGGTTTTCAGTGGACTGAACCAGTAAGTTATCCCCAACTGGAGGTTTAAAATTACTTGGTTCATACAGGTCCAGTCTCCAAGTAGCCTGTCGAAAAAACTTACATAATAGCTGTTATTTATTTTATTATATAAGCTAAAAACATTCCTTTTTGTTAAATTAAAACATTTCCATGTAATAATTTTTCTGCTCAATTTTTATGATCAAAGCTTAAATTCTCTACCTTTTTTTAAAATGAAAATTGACCAGATACCATCTCTTGTGCATACAGATTATAATTAGCTATGACATCATTTAGCTTTCAAAAGCATACCTCCTCTCTGTTGAGGACATCTCATTTTTTACTAGTTTTGTCTATCGAGCAACTCTGCCATGGATTCCTGTTCCCTGTTTCCTGTTTTTTGATCCCAGAAAAAAAAGTTTACATTTTTGACCAACAAGGGATGCCTTGCTTCTGGAGAACTGTCACACTGAATAGTGGTGGGAGTGGTTATTTTTGTGTCATGGTGACACCAAGCTTTTGCCACTGCTGTTTGCCATGGTGGCATCCATGGAGTCCAGGTGAGAAAGGGCCTCGTATCTGTGTGTTGACAGAGAGGACACATGTTTGGCACAATGGCACAAAGCTGTGTTAGTATACATGTTGCTATGTTGCCTTTATTTATTTTCCCCCAATGTGTCTCTCTTTAATCATCTGACAGTTTGTGTATAGGAGTACACCTTTGATACAGAAGTACTATTGTGGTCTTTGCCTTTGGATTACATGGCCAGTACATCCAAATTGATTTGGAAATTATATCAGCACCTCTGATAGACAAAGCAGTGATCATTATTTGAATCTAAATGAATATTTTGGCTACAAAATCCAAATTAGGTTTATTATTCTGCTTAGCAATCATGGTTAAAGAAAAGCCATGTAAAGCTCTTTCAGGCTGCATTGGTGGGAAATCATCATTATCAACAATATTTAATTTCATGAAGGCATTCTAAAATTGAAGGCATATCTTTGATAAGAACAAAAATATTTAATGTTTTTAACTTAGACTTGATTTGATATATTCGCATAGTCCTATGCCAGTAACTCATCATGACTCAGTGTTTCCTTTTAAAATAACAATTATACTATACTCCTTTTTTATGAATGCTGACACATTGGAAAATATTTTAATTTCATCATGGAAGAGTGTTGTATAAGGAGATATTTTTCACTGTTAACTTTTTAGCCTCATGTAGTTTCATAATTTATTTTTTCCACTTGCTGCTTTATATGACATATGTGACATTTGATTATTTGATACTAAATGTGATTTGCATAAACCCAAGTCACACAAACCTCTTGTGGAAGATAAAATTGAGGTTAAAGATAAAGATTTATTTTCGTATTTGTACAGCAATCAACTTTAGAGTGATGGTTTTGTAGGCTTTTATTGTATATGTGTATAAGAAATTTCATGTGTATATATTAAGTAGACCTCTGAGTATTGAATAATTGTTTTATGATTTTGATTTATATGGTTTACTTTTTCAGAGTATTGGCCATATTTCATTTGTGCTGTTTATTTCTCTCCAAACCATTAATAATTATACCATAAAGTGTAATTTTTATAGCAATGCAAATGTCTAAGGAACTACAAATATTTTCTGTATTGTAAATTCAATCAAGTGTGCTTCTTTGGCCTTTTGGGTTTTGTTTCGGCTTTACTTGCAGGCATCTCTGAAGTAATTTTAATTCTATGATGTGCCTACATGAAACTGCCTCTGAAATACTTCTATTTTCTATCCTGGGCAGCTGGCTTGTGGGAGAAAAGAATAAACACATGGTCTTAGGTGCTATGGCACAGCAATGTCACCTTGGCCAGCAGGGCAGCAGGTTAACCAGCTTGGGCTGTGACAGCCAGGAACAGAGACTTAAAGTAAAAACTTCAGGATGTGCTCTGGCCATCCTTGTGACTTTGGGGATTATTCCTTTTCTCTGACACCGTCCTCCTTCCTCCACTTCCACACTGCCCAGCTAACTCCTCATCACCCTTTCATTTGAGCTTAAACATCACTTCCTTCCAGAAGTTTCCCTTCTTAGCCCCTGAACAAGCCTCTGCTTCCTTGTGTAGCATCCTTTCTAACTGGTCAGTATCCTTACTGCCCTTGTCCTTGTTTAACTAACTTGGCACATGCCCTGAAAACCCTTAACTCTGTTGTCTGCAGCTGTTTCCCTTCTGCTGTACACACTGCTTGAATGGGTGATGGAAGAATTAGCTGTCTAAATAAGGCAGGCTTGGTAAAGAGTGTCTACAGACACATACAGAGACGTAAGTACGTGATAGTCATGGGCAGTATAAAGCAGAGGCAGCGTATTTTAGTGGCCACAGGTCTGAGCTCTGCAGCCAGCCCACCTGGGTTTCCATCTAGCCTCATATACCTACTAGTGGGGTAACTGAACAAGGGGTGTAACCTCTGTGTACCCCTGCTTCTTCATTGGTAAAAAGGGATGATAAGAGTACCTTTCTCATGGAGTTGTTACAAGGACTTAATGAGTCCATGTATGTGAAGGGTTTGGGGTAGTACTTGGCACTTTGATCGCCCTCAAAGAAAAATAAATTTTGAAGCACCAGTGCTTGCATTGGTCTTGCTCAGGACCCTGGGTACTGCCATCAGTGATGAACAATTCCCAACCTTTACCAGACTACTTGGAAGGTATGGGGCATGGTAGAGGGTTCACTTGGACATGAGTTCATTAACTACCTCCCACATATCTTCTTGGAATTTCAATGGACACAAAGTTGGGAATCATATAGACAGGATATTGCATAGGATTTAAAGTGAAGGAAATCATTGAGAAAAATGAGGATGGAAAATTGAATAGGAATAGGATGGAAAATTGTGAATGCTGTCCTTACAGGTGTGGGATCATCATTCATTAAGGGCTGGTTGGATCAAGTAGTTGAAGGGATAAAGAAAATAGCAGAGCTCTGAGTGGAATTTTAAATCTAAATGACAGGAAAAGTGGTGGGTAAAGGGATTCTCTAACTGAACAGAAGCTAACCTTTAAACTATGACAAACAACCAGTTGAGAAGGACCTCCAGTGGATAGACCCAAAAGTCCATACGATGGGAATGAATCCCTAGGAAAGCATAGGTTTTGTAGGCTTAAAAATAAAAACACCAGCTTTTCTTTCCAGGTCTCAATGTTTAGACATGTTTTCGTAGCTGAAAATGGAAAACAGACAAAAATGCTCCAACTTGAAATTACAGGGTAAGTTTTCAGCTGCAAATTTCTGGGAATAATTACCCAGCTTTTTTTTTTTTTTTGGTATTTTTCTGCTTCTGTGTATCAGGTTTGTTTCTGAATTTTTATTTCTTAAATTTCCATAGAATGGCAGGTTAGTTGTAAAGCTCTTTCACTTGTGACCTCTTAGATTGATAGCTCACGAGCCACACTGCATAGAATTTGATGCACTTTTCTAGAGCTCTTCACTATCCTTAGGATTTTAGCTTTCTGTAAATATTTCATTCCAAGATTTCTGGCACATCTTCCCATCACCGTGCAGCAGAGCAGCATCCAAGAGCCGGATAAGGATCCCTTCGGGGGATAGTTTCCAGTGTGATTTTAAGGGTAATAGTTAGTGTTCTTTAATTTGCTACAAATAATTTCTCTTCTTGATCAGCCATTCCAGGAACATATATTTTAACTCTTACATAAAATCCAAAAACTTCTTAACATGATTTCTAAGGCCCTCTGTGATCTGGCTCCTAACTGCCCATCCACTAATTCAGTCCCATTTATGGTGTCCTGGGTACAGTCCAGGTGCTGGGGATACAGAGCGGACGAGACAGACTCAAGCTGATCATGTTGTGGTGGGGTTGACAACAATAAGAACAAATAAAGAAGGCCCACATTCTGCCTCCTCCCCACCTTTCTCCACTTCAAAGTCTACAGATGGGCACAGGAACCTGTCCCTGGACATGCCATCTCTCCCAGTGGCAGCCCTGTACTCAGGCTCCACTCTCTGCCCGGATCACCATTCTCCCCCCACTGTGCTTGCCTGCCTCTGACAGGTGCCTGGCATGCCGGGTGATTTACTGAGGGGGGCTGACCCTTCCCCACCCTGGATGTACACTCCAGGGTCACTCAAGGCTCGTGACTCTGCCGATACCCTCTAGATTTTCTATGCCTCCGGCTCCTTGGAAGCCCAGGAACGGCTTGGAATAATGTACTTCACTGAATGAAGTAAAATACATAGGATTATAAAGGAAACCAAATGCTATTGAAAGACTATTTCCAAGATACTTTTTATATTTTGTGATAATAGCAGTATTTGTGCTGATTTACTGGCACATTAAACTACAATATCTGGTGGTAGGTCTGATAGCCACCATACTTTTGACATTGTCATGAAGGTAAACTGTATTTTGAGACATCTGCAACAACCTAATGTAAATCATAAATATCTGTGATTTTCTTGCTGGCATAGTCACAGGGACCTGTGGGGTTCATTTCATTTTATGTTAAATGCTCAAATTTCAGTTAGAGCTTAGTGAAAATAAATGTGTCATTTTTTCCATCAAAAGTGGAAATATGGATTTCTGCCCATAGAGCCAATGGGCCCATGGCCCCAAGTGATAACCCCTTGCCCTGGGTGAGAAGCTGAAGATCTAATATATTCAGGTGAGAATGCCCAAAACTCCAAGCTTGACCTGGTGGAGTTACTCTTCTCCCTGACCCAGCTCAGGCCTGCTTCTGCCTGGAAGCCCACTGGAGGAAGTGGGGGTGTCCCCTGCTCTGTTTTGCTCAGCACCACTGATCTACTGACACACTCCCCTCCAGCTCCAAGCAAGGGGAGCATGGTTCTAACCCCATCGATGCTGTTTATATGCTAGAGAGATAAAGCTCAACGAAGAAAAAGAATGAATGTGGCCAGCAGTTCTTGACTATCAAGTGCGCCGAAGTGTGAGGATAAAATGTGCCCCTTGCAGGAATGTGTTGTAGCCCACCTCCTGCTTATAACTGCAGCTCTGAAACCAGCTTGACTTAATTATCCTCCTTATAGCCACAAACACTGGCTGAGGAGGTAAGAGAGATATAAAGTCCTCAAAATAAAAGCAAAAATAAAGCCACAGCAAAATTTCCACAAATTGGCACATGGTACATAAGATGAGAATAATTGGGTTAAGAATTGGAAATATTGAATGTTTTCTGGGATGAAGCAGCTTATCATTTTTCTCCTCCCTAAAACCCTATTAAAACTAGAATCACATGGTTTTCTTGTAAAGCTATAGACCCACAAGGACAGAAGACAATAGCAACAAAACTGAGAAGCTGGAAAGTAGGTGGAAAATTGGAAACTGAGTTAATCTAAGAAAGCTAAATCCTAAAACAATAGTGGGAGAAAGCTGAGAACAATTTAGATTTACACTGCGAATTTCCCAAAAGGCTCAGGAACTAGCAGAAGCAGGTTCCTCTGAAACTGATATGAGGGAAGGAGGGATGAATGCCATTTGAGAAGCAATTCTATCCTTATGCATTGTTCTCCCATGTTTTGCTATTACTACCCTGGCCAAAGTCTGGAGATGTATTTTACAGGGTAAAACATAGGGTTTGTTAGATTGCAGGGTGGATGCCAGGCACAGTTGAATGTGTTGTTACCATTCAAAGAAGCAAGGGAATTAAGTGACAATCCTGAGCTAAAAGCTTGCAACTCCCACACTGCTTTCAGGACACTGACACCTTTATCTTCCAGAGACTGAAAGATTTTCCCCCTGGATACTGACCAGACAGCTCAAAAGACTGCAAGATACTGATATCAGTCATCTTTCTAACAAATGCACCCCTGCCCCATCACCCCAAAGTGAAGTTCAAAGTTGGTAAGTTGTTCCCCACACTCAGAACTTTCAATCAAGATTTTAGCTCTCGTGAACAATCCAGGATCACTGTATATCTGTGAAAAGTCTCTAACATGGAAAACAGAGACCAAATAAAACAGAAAGTTATCAACTTGGGAAAACAGAACCTATGCAGAGAAGAAAAACCCTATATTAATATGTTTAGATAGAGAACACTTTTGCAGCCCTGAAACAAGAACAAAGTACTATCAAAAGGAACATGTGCACAGCAAAAATAAACTCTCAAAAATTAAAAACATGACAACAGAAATTGAAAAACAATATAGAATTAGCTTGATAAATTTGAGGAGTATTTCAGAAAGAAAAGAGAAAGATCTCCTTCCAGGAGAGGAAGAAATCCAACATACAAAAATAGCTCTTCCAAAAGTAGGCAACAGAGAAAGCAGGGCAGCATAATCAGACAAGTAATTCAAAATTCCAGAACTGAAAGACATCAGTGGGTAGGTTGAAAGAGCCTACCTAGAGCTCAGGAGAATGATTAGGAATAGAGTATATGGTAGTGAAAACATTCTCCAAAACTTGACATAAGAGTTGGCCAACTAAACATTTATATGATATTTATATGAGAGAAAAAGAAAAAGAAATTAAGAAACAGTAATTAGAATGGTTGTGCCCATTTCAACAGAAATACCAGAACTAAAAAGACAATGAAGCAATTTGCCTTTAAATTTCTGAAGAAAAATTATTTCCAAACTTTAATACTATATAAAAGTGTATATACTTTAATTCTTCTATACCTAACCAAATTATTAATAAAATGTCAATAATAATGACATTGT